TGTGCACCTTGGTAAACCCCTCAGTTTCCTGCACGTGTGGCCTCATTTCCCGTGCGACCTCTCTTCTGCACTTGCGGCCAAGGCCTCCGCACATGCGATTTTTTCCTCAGCCTATAGTTTTTTTTTTGTTCAACCCAGGACACACCAGCCCCGACCTTGCACCTTCCGAAATATGTGAAACTTAGGATAACAATAAAAAGAAAATTTTAGCAAATAAGTTTTCAATACAATAACCCAATGGTTAATCTAAAACCTTGCACTAAAACCCGACACCATAACAACGGTAGACCTAAGGTTAAGTAGAGAGGATGAAACGAATAACATACCGGGTCATCACAACCTAGGCTATCCATGCGTCAGTAGGTTTTGATCATGATTTGGGGCCTGTCGACCATTTCAGCCATGAAAGTGAAGATTGGTCTAGAAGAAGGGTTTCATTGTAAGCGATTGGGTAGTACGAAGTTAGACCATCTGGAAATGTGGTTAAGACACAAGGGCTAAGCTCTCCATCACCAGTAGTGAGGCTAGCGGTGATTTTGGAGTCGAACTTGTTGCTTTCAATGAGTTGGATGATTTCCTAAGGGAATCGACGAACTAGATCGGAATCTGAGTCGGAAGACATAGCTGAAAAGCTTAGGGTTTTTTGGTTTCAGAAGAAGATAAAGAGTTTGCACGAGGGAAGAAGTGACGAAGAGGGAGAGTTTGAAAAAAAACTTTAAGTACCTTTGTGTGGGCCCTAAGTAAAAATAATAAATTAGATAAACTGAAGGAGGGCCTAACAATGATAGGCCTGTGAATTGTTGAGAAGCCCAGAGAGGTTAAAAGATTTTTGGGCTCAGAATTGAACATTAGAAGTTTGTGGTTGCCTGTAAACCCAAAATGAAATCATTCAAGGTAAAAGATTTTTTACGAAGGGGGCATTATTGGTGCTAAAATTTAGGAATCTATGGTCGATAAAATGCTGACAAGGCATAAGGATGACATGGCAAGGATGACATGCATGATTGGTGAATATGGCTAACATAGAGTAAGAACGTGTTAAAAAGATAAGGACAAGAAAGATAATGACAAAAAATTAAAGAAGAAATCAAAAATTCAAAGAAGCAGTTCCTAGAATGTAGGGATAGACATGAAGAAAATTAGAGAATCAAGAGAGATCCAAATCAAGAGCTAGGCCAAAAGTCAAGTATAAAAGAGAGAGCTAAGTGCAAAATAAAATCATCTCATCAACCACTCACAATTCGTGAAGAAGTATTTAAGAGTGGTTTAAGTTAGCTATTTTTAGGAGTAGATTAAAGGGAGATTAACTAATAAGTCTCATATTTTAGACTTGTGATCCATATAATCCCATATTTTTTCTTGTGATCCATTTAGTCATTTTGAATGTGTAATGACTCATTTGCCCGCCACATTGGAGTGTCACAATTAGAAGAAGTACACTAAAAAGTTTTTTAGTATTACATCATACCTGTCACGTTAGAGTATCACATTTGGAAAAAGTCTACTAAAGAGTTTTTAATTTTTTTAGAGTGTCACATCTTACCAGTTACGTTGGAGTGTCACATGCCATGTTCAGAAAAAGTACACTAAGGGTGTGCTTGTTTTGAAGGATTAGGGGGTGGATTGGACTATTAGTCCCACTGGACTAATAGTTCATTGTTTGTTTCATTTTTTTTGCTCCGAACTAATAGTCCCCCCGGACTATTAGTCCCACAAATATGGGACTATCCTATCCCATGGGGGGAGGTGGGATAGAAACCATGGGATTGGTATCCCATAGGATTATTTTGTGAAGTGTCCATTTTACCCTCCATGCTATTACTTAACAAACTATTAGAAAAAGGATAAAATAGTCTTTTGAACATTTATAAATTATTTTTTTAGCGTTGTTAATTTAAAATTATATATTAAATAAAAAATTTAAATTATAAATTATAAATTTAATTTAATTGAAAATAATAAATTAAAATATTGTGCAAAAAATAAAATAAAATAAATTTTTATTTAATCTAGCTAAAAATAATTAAAATATTAAAGCTATGTTTAATATTGCTATTACTTAGTAAATAATTGAAAAGGATAAAATAGTCATTTGAGCATTTATCCTTCTCCATAATATCCCAAACAAACATTGGATAATTAAAAACAGTCTAATCCAGATATCTAATCCCATGATTAAACAAACATAGGATACAAATTTAGTCCAATTAAATAGTCCCGGGACAATGTATCCCAGGACTAATAGTCCGATGGATTACAATCTCCCCTTATCCAGTCCGTCCAAACAAACGCACCCTAAGAAGTTTTTAATTTTTTTAGAGAGAGTTTTTAATTTTTTTAGAGTGTCACATCATACCAGTCACATTGGAGTATCACATGTCACGTTTGAAAAAAGTACACTAAGGAGTTTTTAATTTTTTTAGAGTGTCACATCATACCTGTCACGTTGTCACGTTTGACATAAGTGCACTAAGGAGTTTTTATTTTTTTTGAAGTATCACATCATACCCGCCACGTTATGATATTAGGGAAAAATACATTAAAGAGTTTTTTGTTTTTTTTTTTGAAGTGTCACATCATACCCGTTATGTTCACATTAGGAAAAAGTACAATAAGGAGTTCTTTTTAATTTTTTTGGAGTGTCACATTAATACCTGCCACATTGGAGTATTACATTATACCGTTCACATTAATAAAAGGGTATAGCTGTCCACCAAAACACTACGAAAATTAAAAATAAGACCCCATGGAAAGAAACTATCTACTAAAAGAACTTAACATATCAATAGAAAAAATTGGGACTAATTGGAGTAATTGTTTGTGAGATGAGATTTATTGGTAAATATCCCTTGGCACATTTACACACAAGTCATAATTTATGAACTTATACTCCATTAAGTTCTAACTAAAAAATTTTGGACCTTCAAGTCCCATTAAATTTTTAATAGCCAAAATTATTTGACATTTATTTTGATTTTTAAAATTTTAAAACATCAACTTTTAAATTAAAAAACTAAAAAAAAAAAATTATGTGCAAAAAAAAAACAAAAAAAAAAACTAATTAGTGTGTTTGGTTTCAGTTTTCTAAATTCATTTTTTTGAAAATTGATTTTTTTTTATTTTTCATTTTTTTTTCGTTTTTAGTGAGTATTTTTAAAAATTTAAGCAATTTTTTAATTTTTTTAAATGCACTTTACTTAGATGTATCTAAATAGTAAAATATTTGTGAAAAGTATTTTTAAAAATTAATAAATACACAAAAATACACAAAATGTACTGAATTTTTGTTTTGTTTTTTGTCTGTTTTTATTTTTTTTTTTGTATTTAGTGAATTTTTTAAAGATTTTTTTTACAAATATTATACTTTTTAAGTGTATTTATGTTAGGCGTGTCTAAAAATAATAAAAAAAATTGCTTAAAATATTAAAAAAATTTAGTGAAAACAAAAAAAATACGAAAAAATGAAAAAGTGTAATTTTTTGAAAAGGAATTATGAAAACTGAAACCAAACAAAGTGAATTTTAAAAAAAAAAAAATGAAAAAATTGAATTATTTTTTTGTACAAAATTGAAAATTTTGTGTTTATAAAGGATCATGATGATGGAACATTGATGGACAAAACTTAAAAAAAAAAAAAACTTTAAAATGAAAAAAACTGATAATATTCTCAGTTTTAAAACTAAAAAAAACTGATAATGTTCTCGATTTTATTGGATAGTTGAATCAAATCAAGAAGAGCAAAAACGTTTAATCTCATACTCAGTTTTTTTTTTTTATCAGTTAGTAAAACAATTAGTTGGAATACAACTATGCAAAATTGGTAATGTTCTTTTAAATTGGAAAAAATTGATAATATTTTCAGTTTTACTAAATAAGGTTTATTGGTTCAAAAAATCTTAAATAGGACCTGAGCTACCATAACATTTGTAAATATGACTTTTAAGTAATTAACTCTTTTTTCTTTACTTAATTACCTCTAAGGAAGTTCTTAATCTGTTTAAGGCATATGATTCAATCACAAAGTCTGATTTTTTTTGTGTTTATTTAAAATTTGTTTAAGTCTATTAATCAATTACTGTCGATTGGGTCTAAATTGAATTTTTGCTAACAAGAAGTTAATCCGAATATTCAATTATAAAATAATAATAATAAAAAGAGAAGTATAATAGTGCATTAGTTTTTTTTTTTTTTTCATTTTTTTTAAAAAAAAATTCCTTTTCCATTAAAGAGACATACTTTTTTCAAGTTAAATCCACTTTGGTTAGAAGATGGTGTCACCTCGTTAGCCACTTACATTAATTGTATCACATAGGTGGGTTATAGGCATTGTCTCTCAATTGCTTAATCATGGTAGAAAAAGTGAATTATTGGCAAAAATATTGTACCATGATCCTCCTTTACTTAGAAAATTATCTTTGTGATTTGAGAGCTAAAAGTGAGAAAGAAATTGCCAATGTGACCTTTTGTTGCCTTAATCAAGTGAAGTATCTTTTTATCATAATAATGAGCGAGGTAATTAAACTTAGCAAGATAGATAATTTTAGGATCTTTTTTTCGACAAGTAATAGCAGGCAAAGGGAAAGGTTGATAGGAAAATATTCCAGACAATTGAACTAAAATTTATGTCAATTGTGTATCTAAAAATAATATGATTTTAAATAATAATATCATAATAAGTATAGTAATATTTGACACAAATCGAGCAAATACTGTACAAAAAAGGAACTCAACCCATAAACTCTTCCAAAGGATTAGCTATGGATGTTTATTCTAATTGATATTTATTCATTCATTAGTTACAGAGAAACTTGTCATCATTTATTTATACAATGTTCTCATAATTTTATATAGGTGAAAGTTAAACAACCATTGTCACATTAGGTGGCGCATGCTAGCATAAACAAAAAATGTAGCTACAACCCTTCAAGATGCTAATCAAAACTCAACCAAAGTATAGAAAAAAGAAGAAAAAAAAAGAAAAAAAAAAAGAAAGAAGGAAGAAACCAAACTCAATTTTTTCAAGATATAAACATCATCATCACTTTCCACATTGGCATTCTAACTGAACTTGTAACCATATGCAATCAACTTGAAAGTTAGTTCTTTTGACATGAGAAATTTCACTAGTAGTACTACTAGTAGCAGTCCCATAAAAGCGGCTCATCGAGCCGGAAACCTGTATCGGCTCCAGCCAGCTGCCATGATGAAGCATAGTAACAATACCCATCACTTCGATCCGTGCTGTCAAGTGAGAGATCAGGTAGGTCGAAAAACGTGTCATCATCGCCGTTGGATGGAGAGTTCAATGACTCGTGTGTGTTATCTGATGACGACAAAGTGGTTGAGGAGTGAGAACTGGAAAGCGTGGCTTGGCTCACCTCGGCTTGATCAACTTCACCGGGGAATGTGGCAGCCGCGGCCTTGGCAGCAGCCGCTTGGATGTCCTTGGGTGAGGTGGTGGCGGGGCGTGGAAGCTCGTGAGCCAATTCAGGAAAATTGAGATATGCTGATTTACCTTTGATAGCTAGAGCAGCCACATCGTGGGCTCGAGCAGCCATTTCAGCCGTTGGATAAGTCCCAAGCCATATTCTTGATTTCTTTCTTGGTTCGCGAATTTCAGACACCCATTTCCCCCAATTTCGCAGCCTTACTCCCCTATAAGTCGGATGCTTCTCATCACCACCATTTTTGTGCTTCTTCATATGCTCATCGCCATTTTTCGCCTCTTCATTGGCTCTCTTTAAGCCTTTTTGAGCCTTGGACTCTTTTAGACTCTTTGTACTTCGATTTAAACCATCCAAAGTAGACGAAAAAGGGGCGGAGGAGGATGAGGAGGAGGAAGTGGAGGAGGAGGTGGAAGTGGTGGTGGTGGAAGATGAAGGGAGGTAGTCTTGGGCTAGACTCACTATGTTGATTTGTTCATTCATGATAACTAGTCTTGTGGTAGCTAGAAAAGAATGTGAATGAAGGGTACATAAAAATAGAGAGGTTGGGCTTTTATGACTCTTCTATAAATTAGGACTTGATTTAAATAATAAAAGAAAAATAAGTACATGGGGCCTTTGCACAAGAGCTACTACAGTAGTTCAGCTATTTTGTTACCCATGTGAACATTTTAATAAACAACAAAATTACATACCTAAAATTCATACACAAAAATTTATTCAGAAAAATAATATATAATCTAACTTTAATTTTAATATGGTGAGACCCACATCAAGAATGAATCTGAAACACACAAGGCCATTAAATTTTGGAAAAATTTGTTTAGTTTGATTACTTTTGAAAATTTATTTGTAGAGAATTTTTCTCAAATTTTTTTGAGAAACATAAACCAAACAAGGCCATTAAATTTTTATTTTTTAATATTTTTCTGTGCACGAATTCTGAATCTATAGGGTTGATCTTTCTAATAATGTATGTTTTGAGATAATCTTTTTAACATCTTTATTCATTTGCTACTCTCCTTGGCATATTCTTCATGTCAATGTGTCTTGTATATAACCGTGTATTGATACCTACCCAAAAAAAAAGTGTATTGATGACCTAACCATCTTCTATTTTTCATGTGTATGCAAGTTTTGGCATAATTTTGAACCTCTTTTTGATAGTGGTAGGGCATATACATTGTATGTACTCTTTTTATTATTATTATTATTATTTATTTATTTATTTAAATTTATTTATTTTTTAAACCATGTAATTAACATGAAATCTGGCTAAGGAACCCTTGTAGGGTCAACAATGGCGCACCCATGTGTTGATTTATTGAGGCCACAAAATATGACCTGAATCGCCAATCCCCGTGAAGGGTGCCCTAACTTACTGTCATGGCAATGTACAAAATATGACCCGAATAGCCGATCGCCGCAAAGGGTGCACTAATTTTCTGGCATGGCAGTGGTTGGCAAGGCCAGACTCTGTTGGTATGTCATCTTCAAGTTGGCCCCAATTCTGTCTCAACTTGGCATTCTCTACTGGTCATACCTTAATTTAATTCTATTTTTGTTTTTTTCTCTCTTCAGTTGATATGACTTTAGGAAAATATTATGGTTACATATTCTTCAAAGGTATATGCAGTTTATAATTAAAAAAGAAAATGACATAACTTTATACTTTTTGAGTTATAATTATAAAAAAAAATATCGTAAGGGGCTATTTTGAAAAGATGGTTATAATTAGTTTTTTGGTGAAAAACATTATAAGCAGCTTTTTTGTGAGAGAGAAAGTGGGTTATAATCTGGGAAGTAGATTATAACCCACTTCCCAAAATAGGAAATGCAACATGAGGCATAACTAAAGTTCTCATGAGTTATAACTAAAATAATGTCATAACTAAAAAAGAGAAATGGTCATAATTAAAAAAGAAAATGATATAATTAGGAGTGCATATATGATACACCCTTTTAAAGGATGTGTATATTAGAATTTCCCATAAATTTATTGAACACTAACATATCTCAAAATAAATAAATAAATAAACATTTAATTGTCTAAATGATCATATTTTAATGATTTGATAAATCAAAACTTGACTATTATGAGAGAATCTGAAATTTAAGGCAAGCATTATTGAGGGGTCAAAGTTTTATAACCATGTGTTGATATGTAAGCTTCCTATATGGAAATTTTGTAACTAGGGATGAAGACAAGTGATGCAACACTCGTACACATGACTATACATTAAAAGATTTTATTTCAATGATTTTTATTATAGTAATAATACTATAATTTGAAGGCATAATATATGTGGATCTAGAACAATACTTATAAAAATACTGTCAAAATGGTTACATATGGGGCACATGCTAGTGGGTCCACAATAACTCAAGACCAAGTTTGCTGGCCTTACAAGTCATTTGGACAAAAGCATAATTTGCATTAATCTTTGGAAATAATCGTAAGTGAAAAATTCAATCCGACGGTATAGTATGCCATTAGTGATAATTGATGTCATCAATTAATAGTACAATTATAAATAAATAGTAAATTTTACTTTTTAAATGTAACTTTCTAGTCAAAGATAATTTATCAAGCACGCCACATATATGTAGTGGACATAATGGTAAAATATTATCAACTAGTGAATAGTTAGTGATAACGTGGTATCACTATTGCATTGATTTTTATTTTTTATTTTTAAATAGCATATAAATGATAATTGAGAAAAATAATTGTAATGTCTTACGAAGACACATGTTTTACTTGCATTGTTATTGATTTGTAATTAATAATTTTTAGGGCAAATTACGCTCATAGTTTCTGTATTTTAGTTATTGTCATTTTCATCCTTGTAATTTCAATTGACTCGATTTTGACTATGAATTTATGATTTTGTCTCAATTTAGTTCAATTGTTTACAATTGTTAGTATTTTTTTTTAATAAAAAGTAAGTACATAAATAACATGTATTATGCTTTTAAAAGTAAAATTATAAACTTGTTTAACTCAATGAGTTAATTTCAACAAATTCAGTGATTGCTTTCCATTAAAAACACTAATATCGTTATTAATTGGACTAAAATGATACAAAATATAAAATTAAATGTAAAAATTGAACCAATTAAAAGTATAGGGACCAAAATGACACAAAAAGTAAAATATATGAACTATAGATGTACTTAGCTCTTTTCTTTTTTTAATTTTTTTTATATGATATTTCTCTTATTTCTTATATTACTTTACCCATTTCTTATTTGATATTTTTCTTATTTCTTATTTCTTATTTCTTATTTCTTAACTTATTGAACTTTGTTTTTTCTTGTTTATTAAAATTTCATATTATAACCTACTTGCTGAATGGAGATTGATTGATCAAATGTCACTCAATGATGAATCTCATGCATGTATCATCTTATAGTATAGAATACTCTACTTTTCTTTGCGGTTCTCAATATATGTATATATATATGCAAGAGGATTGTAGATTTTAGAAGCTAATTGCATGCTGGTTCTTACTGTTGGACAATTTTTATTGTATTTAAATAGATTAAATTCTGTTGTGTACAAAATAATAACAAGAATATAAAGAAATAAAGAAAATGAGAGAATTTGTTTGATTACAAAAATCAAACTCGAAGTAAAAATAAATAAATAAAAACAGATTTTATTTTGTTACAAAAACAAAATTTTTGATTACAAAAATTAAACTCAAAATAAAAAATAAAAAAATAAAAACAGATTTTATTTTGTTACAAAAACAGAATTAAAATCTAATTAAATAAACAAAAAAAACAGAATAAAAATTAAACAACTTACTTGGTTAATTTCTTTTGAATAACTATCTGATCAAGTCCAGTGTTTAACACTGTGTCCTTAAGACAGATTCGTCCTCTCCACGGTGCTTTCAGAATCTGGACGCCTATCTCCCATGATAAAATGATCTATCAACGAATAAAAGCAGCACTACAATTTATTCGTTCGTCGAACACACTAAGTGTTTATACTCTCTGTAACAAGAACTTAATGCAAAATGAAGAATAAATTTATAGCAGAAGATGGAGTATGAAAATTGGAGTATTTCTCCAAATGGGGGGGCTTAGTCTATTTATAGATGGATTGGTAGCTTTCCATTTTGAATTAAACAGACAGATTTAGAGCTGTTGGGTTCAAAAAACGGAAGGGTCTTGTTTGGATGTACAGAAAAAACCGAACCAGATTATTTCCGGTTAATTTGAATTATGGATTTTATTTTACCAAAAAATAAAAATAAATTCAAATATTTTTGGCCCAAAAAGATTAGTATTGGGCCGAACAAGCCTAACCCAACCACACACCACGCACCCGCTCCCAAGCCCAGGCCCAGCCCGCCCGACCGACCGGACGGCCGGCGGTAGCGCGCGCGCGTGGTGATTTTTGGGTCCAATGGGTCTAGCCTATTTTGCCCATAACCTCTCCCTCTAAAACACTTGGGTACCCCTTGGGGCACACCCCAAGTACCAAACCCAAGGCTTATAAACCCATTCAAAACCTCCCACCAAATCAATGTGGGACAAACCAATTTACATGACAGTTGTACCGAAAGTTGCTATGAATAAGAATAACACATCTTTTGTTTATATTCTTGAGTCAAATTTATGGCATGGTAGATTAGGACATGTGAATTTTGATGCTTTGCGTAGATTAACTGGTTTAGATCATATACCAAAGTTTGAAATTAACCTTAATCATAAATCAAGTAAGTTGTTTAATTTTTATTCTTTTCTTTTTGTTTATTTAATCAGATTTTAATTTTGTTTTTGTAACAAAATAAAATCTGTTTTTATTTAATTTATTTTTTTTCAAGTTTGATTTTTGTAATCAAACAAATTCTCTCCTTTTCTTTATTTCTTTAAATTCTAGTTGTTGTTTTATACACAAAAGAATTAAATCTTTTAAATACAATGAAGATTGTCCTACAATCTTAAGACAGATTCCTTTTTTTGGTATCTTCATTGTATTTAATTTTCTGTGTTTTCAAAGTAATATTCTGGTTGAAAAAACAAATAGTGAGTTATGCTATTTGACAGATAGTAGTAATATACTGTCTCTTTTCTTTGACAACTAGTAGTAATATACTGGTGTCATTAACAATTGCAGAATATTATTTGGTATTACAGAAAATTATTGTGATATTTTATTTTTCTGGTTTTAGTAACAAGAAAATTAATTTGTGTTTTAATTTTTTTCTGATTTTTGTAATCAGAGATTATGGCTACTACAACTAAAACTGCAACTGGTAGTGGTAATTCGATTGTTACACCAACACCGGTCCCTATCCAGAATCATGTTCATGTACCAATCAATCATGGAGAAAAACCGGAGAAATTTAACGGTACTGAGTTTAAGAGATGGCAGCAGAAGATGCTGTTCTATCTTACAACCCTAAATTTGGCCCGATTTTTCCATGAAGAGGCTCCAGCACTTAAAGAGGATGAAAGTGATCGGCAAGTTGTTGCCGCTGTAGATGCTTGGAAACATTCAGATTTCCTGTGTAGAAACTACATCCTAAATGGCCTTGACAATA